CTTCTAAAGTACCGCGGCTGAGGCCTCTGTCTGCGCTGGTCGCCCTGCTGGTCTCCTCGTTTGGTCGCGACCGGTCGACAGTGTGAAACGGCCCTAAACGTGTACAAGTCTTAAACATCACACCCGTATCCAAAGCAGAATACAGGCAACTCTCGGTTTACGAACAAGTTCCGTTAAACGTTTATGTTCGTTATGTGTATCTTGCATTCTTGAGCTTTTACGATACGTATCGTATACGTCAGCAGCCATTTTAAATCATTAACTGGGATACTAGGAACGACCCGTTCTTCAAGTGCCTGAGCACTGCGGGTCCCAACTTTTCGTTGGCATGATCTATTAGACATTTGGTAGGTCTCCTTGGACGAGGGATCGGCCCGTCGCAAGGCCTCTACCTGTACACAGGACAGCACAAGACAGAAAAACGCGGACAAACATCCATGGCTTGAGTGGGATTCGAACCCACGGTCCCAGCGACCAAGCTGCACAAGGCCCACTCCTCAGACCGCGCGGCCACTGCGGACCCCGAATCACTAACACCATGTAAATACTAAACATCAAATGGTCTATACCAGCGTTTCTCAACCTTTTTGCCCTTGCGGAACCTTTGAAATAATATTCATGTCTCAGGGAACCCCTACATAAAAATTATTATATATCATTATTGATATCTTTATTTCTTTCTTTATAAACTTAAAGTTCATAAGGAAAACTTAATATATTTTTTCTGATAGCTGGTTTACGCAAAAAATTACTTACGTTTTTCTCAAGTTTATTGACAATACAAAAAAACTGAAATCAAACTGCCTGTTCAAGAGACCTCATACGGAGGTTTTCATTCACACAAAAAATAAACATAAATAACCAATATCGTATATAACACATATAAACAGAACGAAAACAGATAATAACTACTACAATAACTAAATCGTTTATTGATAATGTTAAAAAGGCATAAGATAAATCAAAGTAAAATGTTATATGAACAAATATATGCATCAAGGAACTGTTATTTTTGAAGCCAATTTAAATAATAACATTTACTTTTCTAATGTGAAAACTGTGCTTGTCTTTTGGTACACAAATAGTTAATTCGGGGTCGAACTTTAGATAAACACACACGGATTTCATCTTCAACTGAAAGGAGACGATTTCTGTCTTTGGTCTTGATACTTGTTAAATAAGAAAAAGCTTGCTCACACATGTAAGAGGTTGAAAACTGCAGCAATATATTTATTGCTTTCCTATGAATGGCAGGATACTCTTTCACAGAAATCCAGAACTTGTCCAGGGATAGGTCAGTAAATCTCATCTTGAGTACAGCTCCTGTACACTGACCACTAAAGGCGGTTTCACGCTGGCGCCGTATAGACGTCGCTAAATATATTTCTTATGATTATTATATTTCTAAATGACATAACAGGTTGAAGACTTTATTATAATACCCAAGAATTTTCCGAGACTGTGTCGTACGTGTATAGTAAAATTACGAATATGAATTTAAACATGAAAATGACTCAAAAAAAAATTACATATGATTAGCCTATTCATCACTATTTCTCGCGGAACCCCCGGCGATTGCTCGCGGAACGCTAAGGTTCCGGGGAACCCCGGTTAAGAAACGCTGGTCTATACAATACATTTTATTATAATGTATGTATGCGTTATGGTTTATTGTATACGATACGTAACGTAAAATAAGAAAAGAATAATACTGGCTAGATTAGTTTTATTAACCAAGAACAGTTCAGTATAATTATCATATAATAATTTTCTGATAATTATTGCTATAAATACATTTTTTTAAAGTTTACTTATTTAAATCTTACAATTATGTTCACTATACGTTTGGCATTTCGTTTTATAAGGAACTCTATCTATTGGCGACTTTAAGAAATTTTGAATGAATTGTGACGTTCGTAAACCGAGAGTTGCCTGTACTTGTATCCCAAATTACTGGGTGCTTAAAAAAATTTATATGGTTTTACGTGGTCACGTTTGTTAAGAGTATAGAAATATAATCTAATTCGGAAAACATGCGTTTCCTCACGCGACGGAGTCAGAATAAAACAAACAAAGAAAAAGTGGCTAACATTCGTGCTTCACGTTCGGAAGGTCTCGGGTTCAAATCTCGACCCCGAGAGAGGTTTTTTGTTTTTCCTAACCGCCACCCCTTCCGTTGGGCAAATTCATGGGTAGTACCTTAAATTAGGCCACAATCGCTTCCTACTACATCCCTTCCAATTGATTGTTCAATATTAATGACGTCATTCAACGAGACAAAACTATTCAGGAAATAAATGTGCATGCTTTTTTGGACACAGAAACCCATAAGCTGGCCTGGGTTTGAGTCTCGGTGAAAATGTATTTAGATATCTTTTTTCTGTGATATTAAACGATGCTTATCGAATGATGAGGCTTTTGACAAGCTTTCGGAAGATAAATATTGATAAGAAATGTAAGTATTTGTCCATTTTCCCCGCAGTAACGCTGCGGGTACTCTGGTAGTTTTCTTATAACTTATTTATTTAAATATGCTCCATACTCAGAACATTTCAAGTAAAAGTTGCAGATCTTAATTACAGCAGTACCTTGTATTAAGGATCGGCAATCTTTTCATTACTGCGAGTCGCATTACCTAGGGCCAATAAAATAATATTGTTGTGCACACTAAGCGAACTGTATTTCTTCAACTTCAAGAGTAAAACTGGCTTTACCTCGAAAATAATAGCTTTATTTCTTCGTACCATTGAGTTTATTGTAAAGCCGTTGATTTGATGTCCTCGTTTATCTTGTAAGACTACATTTATTAATACCGCAGTATTTTTAATTTTGTTTGGCTAAGTTTCGTATGGTTTAAACAACAATTCACCGTTGAGCAATAACGTGATATTAACGTTATATGCCGACATTTATGTGATTTGTAGTTTTTTGAGCAATTGTTTTGGGACTTCTCTTCCGCTTAGTTAATATATGCAGATTTATGGCTTTTTCCCAAGTCATATTACAGGCAACATGAAAATGTTGCTGACGCGTCATCTACCAGTCTTCTATACCGGTGAATCGGTTTTGAGAAATATGAATTGTGCCTGTGTATTTGTATTGTATTTTTGTACAAACTATTGCCATATACCTAACTTATGGAATGCAACAATCCATGTTCCACTTGATATTCACCGAAATTAGAGATTATGACTTAGTGTATATGGACAAACTGAAATCCGTCTGACAACGTAGATCCCCCAATACCAATTTAATCGAATCCCACTGATAGTTCCGGAGACAAATCATACGGATGGACAGACAAATCTCCCCACAACGAGTTTCTTCGTCTTGCAAAGAACGCGTACTGCATAAACAATGTTATAAAATTAATTTGATTTGTCTTAATATCACTGTCATAAAAATGAAATGAGGGTGTTTTATTTAAGCTTTTATTCATTCTTGACCTTGGCACTTGATATAAGATCGAAGGCGCGTGCGCAGAGAGAGAGAGATAATACTTTATACTCCAACTCTCACGAGGACACGTGACGTTAGATACTTAAAAGCGTCGAAACCTCGATCGTCGTCGTTGGGATTAGGTGTCACGCCCCCGCCGCCCTATTACTCTTTATTTCCGAAGTGTAATTACCTCCCTTGGACGCGGACAAAGTATCCACTTGCGTTTGTGAGGCACCTACATACAGGTACTCCATAAAGATGTGCACACAGTATAATACGAAATATTAAAATTGTGTGTACATTTTATGGGACGCCTGTATAATGTTAAGCCTGCTTAAAATGATTGACAAACCAAAGTTTGTTGTTGGCGTATTTGATGACAGTGAACTAACTGCTGGTATTATGCGACTGAGTGAGAGATACCAAGTTGTCTGTGTTTGGTGAGTCATGGGTGAGGGGTGAGAACAAAGTAGAAGCTCATATTTTTAAATCATTGTTCACAATTTAAAACAGAGAGGCTGAAAAAACATGATTAACAGTCTTTCGTTTCAATATTCCCAGAAAAGGAAGTGAGCCTACTGTATGACAATGTTAGGTAAAACTTACATCAGGTAAATTATTTTTCCATCTCCAAGTAAAATAGGCTTATAAATTTTATCAAGAAATAAGATTGTTTCAAGTAGAAGATTTATGCAGACAGATGCATGTCTAAGAAATTTCAGGAAATTATCTGTATTTAAATTTGTTGTCAGAACTAAGTTTTTAAGTCCATTCTAAGAGGCTTTGCTCTTGTTTGGAAAAAATTTAAAGTGATTTTGAGCAATATTGTGAGTTTCTCGCATATCAAGGGGGACAATAAAACTCTGAAACACCAGATAATAGATAACTTTAATGTCAATGTCCAAAGAAATACTTACTTAACAATAAAAAATCTACAAGTCTTTGACTAACCCTACCCCTGCCACTCTCCGACTGTTGCTTTTCTGAACTATAGTATCAACTTATAGACAGGCCTTTTAATGTTACTGTAAAATTGTATGAAAATAATTTTATTAAAAACTGCAAGCTAATAAAGTATTAAAATATTTTGATTAATTTTAAAGGTAAAGTCCCTATGCTTAACAAAGCACCATGCAGTGAAGATTTATGGAGAAGTGAAGGTGCTTTCTTAACCTCATCACTAGACGGATGCCTCACGTCTTCAGTACCTTACTCCTGAGGAAAGTCCCCCAATACTAGGAGGCAGGTTGGCCCCACAGCCAGTCAGGACTCAAAGAGAAAAATCCCATCTTAACTGGTTGTTCAGGTCCATCTCATACTTGCATAAAGCAAGTTTAGGAAGATAAAATAAAGTTGTTTTTAAAGTGACATTCTTTATCTTGTTATACTAACATTAACTTTGATTTTGAACATTTTGTTTAATCTACCTAAAATTCCATAGACCAATAGGGAATTATGGCCATAAACATGCAGAGTTAATGTTTCTCTTGCAAGAATAAACTAAGGTAAGCCAATGGAATAAAGGAATAACTGTGGTGATAATCTATTGGACATTGCAGGCTTCAGATGCAGAGCTGGAAGCTGCACTGGAGGCAGCTCTGGAAGCAGGTTACAGACATATTGATACTGCCTATGTATATGAAAATGAGGCAGCTATTGGCAGAGTACTGGCAAAGTGGCTAAATTCAGGCAAGGTTAAACGAGAAGAGCTTTTCATAGTCACCAAGGTAAGGATCAAATAATTTCAGGAGTGGGATAGGGAATGAAGATGACCAGAAGGTGTGGAGACAAAGCTTCACTTATTCTAGACCTTGCCATTCAGGAAAATAAAACTTTTGAAATTGGGGAGAGGAGCGTAAGCTATCGAGGAGACAGTGTTAAAAGAATCGAACAGTGTTGGAGACTGATTGCCATATTTTTAAAACAAGGTGTTCACGTACCCAGTTGAAGACCAAGTAGGATTTCAGGTTTATACAGCAATCAGCCTGAGATGGCTGTCTTCTATGTTGTTGTGCCATGGAGTCTGGTAGAAGTTTACCAACGCTTCAGAGGTCCTTGCTGACTCCATCATTAGGGGACTCACTCATCACCCTGATGATGGAGACAACAGGGATCTGTGAAATGTTGATAAACTTCTACCATGCTACATGGCACAACAATCCAGAGGACAGCCACCTCCAGTTGAAGACCATTATCCCATTTGATCAAAATACACATATTCTTTATATTCATGGATAGTGGAACCAAGTAGAAAGAGGTTATTACCCCTCATTTGTTTAAATAATTTTCAAAAATGTTTCATTCTGAATATTTATCTGCATACCAAATTTAATCTGTTTTGTTGAAGTGGTTTATTATTATTATTATTAATTACCATCAAAGAGAGAACTAAAAACATATTCTGTGCTACCACTACATTATGTCATTTTGTACAAAGAAACTTTACAGAAGTTGCATATTCTTTGCAGATCTGTAGCCACATAATATTTTAGGACTACATTTATATTGCTAGTGTCATTCTCATTCCAAAAGTTTGAATTGCTGACATTGTGGCGATATTGATGTTTAAAAATTATAAGGGACAAATATTTAGTATGTTCAAATGGCATGAGGTTCATATTGAAGCAAGTCTCCTTCCATTATTAAGATATATTCACAAACAAACAACAAAACTATCAAACTCTCTCACAATAATATTAATACATTTATTGATAACTTTGATGTTGGAAGTCGCTATATGTTTCAATCATGCTGAACCATCTTGTGGATCTAAGTATATCCGAATGAAGACTGTTTGCATAGCATATGAATAATCAATTATAAATATGTTGGTATCCTGTTGGAGAATGTGTGCTACAAGTTGTAATAAAATAATAATATTATAGGGTATGAAATTATTATGATTCAATAATACAGTTATTTTAATACCAGAAGCACAAACACTGTGGTCTCATATTTCATACATTTAGAACATGAAGATGGTCCAGTGTGACTGAAACATGAATCTCCTTTTAACACCAAAGTTGTGAAGAAGTTTGTTAATACTGGTGTATAAGACTGTGATAGAAGTTTGTCATTTGTACTCTTACAAATAACCACAACAAGATGCATGAATTAGGCATGAATAACAATGTCTAAAATACGGCAGCAGAGACAACTAGTGTCATGCACATTGCATACAGCTCAGGGCAATTCCTACATAATATACATAATATTATTACCTGGTAATAAATCAACAACTGTCATAAATGTATAGAGATTAACTGGGCACCCTAGCAAATGTTCACCAAGACTGTGGTTTAAAAGAAACATGGTTGCATACATTTCCACCACTATAACCAATTGTATGTCATATTATTTTGGGCTTTTAAGTATCATATGTTTAAAATTTCCTTCTACATACTGTTGAATTTAAATATTTTGTTTTTAGTGTTTCTATTTTTCATTGGCGTTAAAGATCGTAATGGAAGAAGACCCTTAATCATTGTCAGTATTAGTCACATGCGCCAGATTACAAACATTACAGTGCTTTCTTTAAAAATGCTTATACACACACACACACACACACCTAACCCTCCATCTTCAAGTGATTGTTTTTCATTATACTGTCATATTTTCATAACTTTTAAATTTCCAGTACAATGTATGATCTGAAGCTTTCACAGTGACTAAGTATAATGAACAGTAGTCCGAGAAGAATTCATGATGTCCAGTACAGTGTTGGTGTAAGGTCTCCAGTCACATAATAATCAAATAGGTCTTATTTGATTTTCAAATTCAAAAATTTGTTCTCTTCACAAATCTTTGTATCACTTTTCTTGTTTACTTACATTTTTCTTCCTTCTCAGGCACTAAATGTAAGTACTGCATTTTCATTTAGCATATAAGTTTAGGTACATTACACTAACCAAGTTGCATGCTTAAATTGAAATGTAAATGCCTAAGTAAATCAGAAGACAATAAGGTGACAAAATACATATTTAACTTATCACCAAATACTTAATGAAATATGTTTCAGCTACCCCCAGCTGGCAACCATCCTGACAGAGTTGAAAAATATTTGAAGCGTTCATTGGATAACCTTGGTTTGGATTATGTAGATCTATACCTGGTGCATGTGCCCTTTGGTTTTCTGGAAAAAGGGGAAGATATTCATCCTGTGGAATCTGATGGAAACATTCTCTTGGACAAATCCACAAACCATATAAATATTTGGAAGGTACAGTGTTTTACAATTTGACCTCACGATTTCCACATTCCGTAATCATTTTAATTCCTTGCATCAGTATTCCATTTGACCTCTTCCCATGACATCTGTTTACAAGAATTTTGTATTCCTCTAGTTTGCTCCTCGAATTCTATATTTCATACTCATTATTAACCCTTTACCATTACAAAGATTGATTGGTTACTGTTGTTTAAACTGAGAATCATGTGAAACACATAAACACAAAATGAAGCAGTTGGAACATGTAGTTTTCATTGGACTTTAAAGGATTAAAATAATAATGACAATGATTTGGCACAAAAAATTAATTATAGGCTGAGTTCAGAAGAGGTAATAACTAAGCCAACAGTAATATCAGCAATAGAAATAATTCCATGTACCTTCACACAGTATGTTCAAGAATTATAATTGAATAAAGTGCTTCATGAAAACAGCTGTTCTGCTAGATACAAGCAATATCACAAAATAGTTATTATCCTAGAAATAAAATAAGTCATACTGTATTCTTGACCAAAGTTCTGAACATATGTACTTGTACATGAAAAATCTGTGTGAAACTGAAAAAATAAATTATTGTATCTGTAACAGCAGTAATCCCAAGAAACTCAATAATAATATTTAAATGTAGTAAACTAATGAACCATTGCCATGCAGATTGTCATTTGATTTACATACCACTTCCACTCTAAGTTAGAGTAGACTTACGTTTCTTAAGTCTTATGAAGTGTTTGATGTTCTTAGTATAGTAAAATTGAGGATTGCTGTTGTTAAATGGTTCATATGCTACATAGTCTTGTAGGTGGTTACCAGAATTTCAGAGGAATATATTGCTCCATTATTCACAGTATGATGAAACATTTCAGAGGAATTTACTTACTCTACCTTGTTTTTAATAATAAAGGTGGCATGTTAATCCAAAATATTTGTAAACGTAACTTGTGGACAACTTACGAGACAAGACAGTATCCAGCTAGATTTTAACACTAAATTTTATATACCATTTTACTGTTTATATTAAGATTTTCAGAAAGTTAAAGGTTTTTAACTTCATTATTTGTGAATTTTAAGTTTTAGATTTGACTCTATACTATAGTAGTTTAGTTAAGATTCAAGTTATTCACCTGAAATTGGCTGAATAAGGTCAAAACATATATTTCATCAGCATACGTGTAATATGAGCAGTGTACTATCAACTAATTAAGGGGGTAACCATGCCAAGAACAGGTTGATTTTTTGAGTTGTGTGATGACTGATGAAAAATACATTGTAGTTATATAAGACAAGATTGTATCATGACCCAGATGACCACAATCCTCCATTTCAATCATTTTTAAATGTAGATCAACTTTCAGCAGTGATATCAGTGATGTTTTTGCTTGAATTTTGGTCAAGTAATACATAGCATTACTTAAGAGCAGTGTCTCCCTGTCTAGATTGTGAGATGTCCACTACTGTTTTATTTCTGGGATGTTCCAGGCAATGGAAGCTCAGGTAGATGCTGGGCTTGCCAAGTCTATTGGGCTGTCTAATTTCAACATCAGTCAGATAAAACGAGTGCTGCAGTCTGCCCGCATTCCCCCTTCAAATCTCCAAGTAGAGCTGCATGCCTTTTTCCAGCAGAAAGAATTGGTTGACTTCTGCAAAGAGCACAATATTATAGTCTGTGCATATGCACCACTTGGTTCTCGTGGTACTGCAAAACTGTATGAGCGAGCTGGAATAAGGTGTGAAGTTATTTTGATATGTTATGTACAATTTGATCTCAAAATAGCATCCCTCTCAATACCACCACTCTCACACTGCACCAACAGAAGCCTCAAAACAGAAATCTCCTATGTAATTTCGAAGGGAATCCGCAATATAACACTACTCCTGTTAACCACAAAGTCTGATACAGTGCCATGTCATTTTGCTTACATGAGCAAAACAGACTATTCCCTGAAATCCTGAAATATTCAATTATATAAACACTTTACACCAACAGTTATGTCTTGCTTCATATTTGGGAGTTCACAGGTTCAAATCTCGGCCTGGAGACCAGCTAACCTCACTGGGATTTTCATGGTTTTCCTCAGTCCTTCCAGGCAAATGCTGGGATAATACCTTAAATTAGTCCATGACTGCTTCCTTCCACATCCTTTCCAATTGACAATCATCCTCTCATTTCACGCTTTATAGCCAGAGCTTCTGAAAAGCACCATTTAACAAACTGCAAACAAACCAACAGTTATGTATTAACGAATAAAATATACTATAATAATAATAATATAATAATATAAAATATACCACTTATAGCAGCAGTTATGTCCAAATCTGCCACTTGGAAAAGGTTGCTGCTGGGAGGGGAATTGATTTAAAACACTTAAAATTCCAAGAATTATAATTTTACTTGTTGTTTTGTATGGGTATGAAACCTGGTCTCATATTAAGGTAGGAACACAAACTGAGGGTGTTTCAGTACAGGATGCTTAGGACAGTATTGGACCTGAGCCAGATGACGTGAGAGGGGGCTTGAAAAAGCTTCATAATGAGGATCTCCATAATTTGTACGTGACCAATATTGCTAGGGTAGTCAGATCAAGGAGGATGAGATGGGTGGTGTATGTAGTGTGTTGAGGGGGATGAGAAATGTACACAAAAATTTGATTATAAGGCCTGAAACAAAAGACCACTCATAAGAATGAAGCATAGATGATATTATTAAAATGTATGTTATGGAAATAGAGTTTGGGGGAGTGGATTGGATTCATCTGATTCAGAATCGGGACTGGCACTGGTGAACATGGTAATGGGTGAGTTAATAATATTGTGATAGCTTCAGTTAATTCAGGGAATTAATTGAGCAGCTGAGCATACTATTAGCTTCTCAAGAAGGACTTTGATCTATAGATTCATTTGTTAGTTCACTGACCTAGGTCTTTATTGCCATTACAATTCTCTTGTTGTGAGTCAGTCAGAATTTTTTTTTTTTGCACTCACAATATCAGTTGAATAAATATTTTTAGATCTTAATGAAATATAATGTTAAAATCTTAAACTATCCTGTTTGATGATCTTATTTTGAATAATTAAATAAAGTTTTATTTCATCTTCATGTAATAGAATGGGGTTTAATGTTGGACCAAAACCAATGAACAAAAATTAAATTCACTTGTTAACATTTAATGTGTATCTTATGTGTCAAATTTAATCAAGATATCTTTAGTTATTTTGCAGGAAAAATTTACAAACAGTTATTACCTCCCAGATGTGTGATCACATTTTTAATTCTGTGCAAAGAGTACATACCTCATGCTGTGTCTAACATGCAATCTAAAGTACGTATTTTTAAAATTGTTTATTTTTATTATCGTCTGTGTCTGGATTTAGGTTCCTTCTATGGTGTCTGGTGCTGATGTTTGTTATCTTAAAGGTGTCAGGATTTATAGTGATTTCAGGCAAGTTATTATAAGCGTAGATGAACATGGTGTCTATGATTTCAGCAAAGATTTTCCAGACCTTTTGAATAATCCAAAAGTACTGGAGGTGGCAGAGAAATATGGAAAGACACCTGCACAAATCCTACTTCGTCACATAGTACAGCGAGGCATAGCTGCCATCCCTAAAAGCACCAACCCAGATCGAATTCAACAGAATTTGCAAGTGAGATGCAACAGTTCAAAATATCTATAAGTTCATCAATATTAAACACTTTCTTACACATAGTTCTTATTTATTTACCTCTGTGGTTTATTACTTGAGTCAGCTGGCTTCTATCATATAATAAAATAAATCAGTAAACTAAATAGACAAAACATTTTTAAATAAAGCTTTAATTCCAATGCTACTCTATCACTGTCCACCAAAGGTTAGAAAATGCCAAGGAAAAGATAGAAGAAACACTTTTGAAACATGTAACCAAAACATGCCAAATGCTTAATCCATGATGTTCAAGATAATGCTGAAAGAACCTAGGTAGAGTTTAGTGGCTGAAAATGGGGAGTAATAATTTTGGAGCAAAGGCTATTTTCAGATCTATATAGAATGGTCTATATCTTGTATGGTTGATTTTCTTGATATGAGAACAGGGGATCAAAGTCCCCCTGTTTCCAGCTACATACTGTCCTTCCAAAAGAATATATATTTTTTTATAATTTAATATTATATTTTTGGAGTTTACTGTGTACATTTATCCTAATTTTACATTCTCATGACTGCGTATGTGTGTCTTTGTGTATGCTTAAATGTACAGTTACTATCTTACTGGGTAGAATCTGACAGTAATGTGAACAACAAAATGTGCATTAATGCTCCCATGATCTGAATTCTGTTCCAGGTACTTTCCATACTTGAATTATTACACAGAGTTAAACTATGTTATTTTATTTGTAAGTCTTTAGTTGAGTGGAATTGTTTTTTACAGGGTGAATTTATGCATTTGTACCCTGACTACAATAAGCAGTGTTGTGACAATACAACTGACATTCTCTACAGGCAATCAAGGCCACAACACTGCTTATTCATGCACTAAAGAAACCTTTTCCAAATTGCATGCTTCAAGGTTACAGCAAAAGCATACAGTGATGCAACACAAACACTGTAGCTCAGGCGAGATGAACATTTTGAGGTGTTTTTCATTTCAACCTGCTGTAACATTTTTATTTGTAATAGGATCAAAGAGTGATAAAGACTAAAGTATGCAGACGACTTAGTAGTATTGGCGAAGGAAGAGGAGGAATTACAGAACATGATGGACAAGTTAGTGGAAACAGGTAGAGAGTATGGAATGGAAATCAACATTGAAAAATCAAAGGTAATGAGGATAGCACCGAGAGCAGAACCATTGAACGTTCTAATTGGAAACAAACAGATGGAGAATGTGGAGCATTTCAAGTACTTGGGAAGCATAATCACGACGGACGCTCTATGCACCAAGGATCTGGACGTAGACGGTGAAGACGATGAACCAACTATCAAGACCTGTCACCGGAAAACTTTCACCTCAACACTGTTGTAACCAGATAAAACAAATACTTGCAACGAAGACCTTCTGGCAATGAGAATTCAGTTACCATCCAATTCCGATATTTTGTGCAGCAGTTACTAAAATCTGCAACTATTAGTACCTAAGGCCAGGTTGAAGGAAAGAGAGGACTAGGAAGAAGATTGATACAGCTAACTGACGACCTTAAACAAGGAAAGAAGATGACGTTCCAGGAATTAAAGCGAGAAGCCGAGAATAGGGACAACTGGAGAGCTCTTTTTGGGCAGAGCAATGGACCTGTCGTAAGACAGAACACTTAATAATAATAATAATAATAGGATCAATGACATATTTTGATTATTGCATTTCTCATATCTCTGTTAATATAACAATGCCTTCGTGATACATTTGCCATGACATTTTATTATTTTAATAAATTAGAAATCTTTGTTCCAAATTATTCTTCACTCCCTAGTAGAAAATATACTTTGCTACAAATTTATGTTCTACACATCCTTCCACCTACATTCTGGCTAATAAATGTAGTTGAAGGTTCAAACTTTATATTTTCAAGAACCACATCTCAATCGATCTTTATCTCTATGAGAAAGTTCAATGTATGTTTTTGTGTTGTGTACACATGGTAATTTTGCATGATGACTGGAACCATGTCTGTCAGATAGTTTAATACCTTATTTTATAGGTATTTAATGTGAAAATTAAATTAAATGTTCATGTTGCTAGGAAATGTGTTTGTAATAATTCTACATGTAAATAGTCTTCTTATTGTGATTTATAATAGCAGATATTCCCAATCTGCACAGCTACACTGGTGTTGTAACAGCCAAGGCCATTTGAAGTTGATCTTCATATCAACTCACAGCAATTTAACACATTTAATAACAGACATTATGAACTTGTGAAAAATGTAGAAATTAAGTTTTTTTTTATATCTAGTATCTAATGAAAAAATGTTATAATTTTAAGTAATTTTTACAACATTTTTAAGTTTGTGTAAAGACGGTAAATAAATTATTGTAGAAATTAAGATTTACAGTAAACATGCCACTGGAGATAATGTGACTGCTTACTGAAGAGAGTGATGACAATTCAGAACTTGCAGCATATCAAAATTGTACTGTTGACTTGCAGCCATGCAGTATGAAGGGTGAATCCTTCTGTGGCCTTGAAGCATGCAATTTGGTGATGACATTTTATAACAGCTACTCAAACCGGACAAAAACCATGTGCTGTGAAAACTCATAACTCAACTTGAAACTATAGTCCTAAATGTGTACCACCCTGTTTGATGCAGTTGTAACACACTGATTTGTATTTGTGAGATACTGGTCCACTTCTCAACCATGCTACTAGCCATCATGACTGGTATTTTCAGACTGTCTCTTTGGGAAGATTTGTATTATGGTTTTCCTCAGTCTTTCCAAGCAAATGCTAGGACCAAATATTAAAATAGCCCACGGTCAGCGGTGAGTATGAAGATTTCTGTCTTCTGGGTTGTTGCGCTGTGTAGTCTGGTCGATGTTAACCAACGTTTCAGAGGTCATGCTGCCTCGTTCATCACCCTGATGATGGAGGCAGTATGACCTTTGAAACGTTGGTTAACATTGACCAGACTACACAGCGCAACAACCCAGAAGACAGAAATCTTCATACTCACCGCTGTGAAAACCTCAAATCTTACACTT